CTAAGAGCAGTCTTTGCTCGGAGGAGCAGTTCCCGGGCCGTGGAGTTTCACGTGCCCGCAGACGCTTCGCCCGGGTCGAGGCCAGTGGAGCTGATCTTCCGAGGAAACACGTTGGTGCTCAGCGAGCGCGGAATGAACCGGTCCAGAAAGCGATTCCTGGGCCTCCCTTTTGACAAAGGGACAGGGGCAGAATCCCCCGACGACGGCCAGAGGCTCCGCAGGACAGTGCGGGGAGCTGCGTTGGGACGGGGAATCCTCTGGGACTGCAGCGGTTTCGGTGGTCGCTTTATGGAACCGGAATATCTTTTTGCTTTCCAAAGGGAAAAATAATAGGAAGCTGTTCTTTTTAATGCGGCACCTACCCAGTGTCGGCCTTGGTAGGTTGACTGCTTGGATTTAAGTTGGGGTACAGGGTCTGGGTACATGCTGTTAGTTGGGCGACTCTGTAACTGTTTTCTGAGGCTGATTTAGCTTCAATCCAAGTACTTTAATCTGGATTTTGTGGGAGGAGTGGGTGGAAAATAGAATTCATTCTCAGCTTTAGTTGCAACCTCTCTTCTGATTTACCTGTTTCCCAGCTTCCTAAAAGCATTTAATTTAAAGTCTTCAATTTGCTTGTGGGGCAAATTGAATCCAGACTGTAACAAATACACCTAAATTGACATTTCCCCAGACATTCTTTTCTTTCTATTATTTCCTCAGGATTAAGACTCCTAGGATATCAGAAGCTCAGTTTTTAAAAGAAAACATATATAGATCTCAACCAGATGTAAAGTCTATTTTAATTTTGATTAAGAGTTTTTATTAAAATAATGCTTCTGTCATGCAGCATTTAAGGGACTGTATCATGTTCTTAAGATTTTTATTTTAAACAATGTAATATCAAATATGTTAGAAAATACATTTTACTTCTTCAAGGATATAGTATGGTGATGCATTCTACCACATTTTCTTGTGGTTATTCCTAATATTGAATTCTAAATGCATTTAATTCTATTAAAATTAGAACATGCTTAACCTGGTTAATGAATTAACCTATAGCTTGCACAGTACATAGTAATCAAATGGCTGGGTCATATAATGTACTAACCCCTACGCAGGCAAACAAATTAATCAAGATTAAAATGAAGAAAGCTTACAAAGAGGTATTAATGCAGCTGCTAGATTGTAATAACTTGGTGTAGGTATGTTGTGAAACCCCAGTCTCTTTCTAATCTCTTAATTCATGTAGTATGAAGAGTACTGCCTTTTTTCCATATTACAATCTCAAAAAGTGATGCTGCTGGGAATAAATAGGATATATATAATTTGTGAAGCTTTCTCTGACTTCTTTTTTCCTCCTCCTATGTTTCTATATTAGGATAAGAAGGGGCATACAGGGAAACAGGCTAATTTTGAGCGCAGAACAGTGTACCAGAGACATGTTCGGACACCTAGTTTGCTGGCTAAAAGCATTTTAGAAGGTAATAATTTTTTAGCACTTTGAAATGACCTGTCTTTAGATATCTTAGCGATTATTTTTGTTTTGTTTGTCAATATACAGGCTGCTTATCCATGTCAGTTTGGTAATAAAAGAAAACTAGATAAACAATTGTAAACTTTCATGGACTCTGATCTACCACAAATTTCAGTGGCCTTTGAACAATAACTTCTTAATTGGATTGTGGCTTGTGCACTTTATTCTGTCCCCCCCCCAAAAAAGGTGCTTTCAAGGAAATGGATTGATGACAGTGTTATAGCCAGTAATTGAATTATAATCTCTGGGAACGATGATAAGTAGATTAGATTACGCAAGAAAGAAGTGTAGAGTGATATAATTGTTATTTGAGGACTTTAAAAAATGGTTAACACCATATGGAAATACTGTGTCATCCTTTAAAAGGAGTGGTCAGTTTAAATTAAGAAAATAAAGTATTAGAGTCGTTGCAATGAACAATTTCTCATTAATTCCAAACATATTTCAATAAGACAGTCCTGCAAATTGAACTTTCTCTTCATTTTGCCTCAATTTATAATCAAATAGTTATTTGATTAATTGAAAAAAATAATTGCAGTGATATTTTGAGGATTTAAGATAGTATTTTCCTATTGACAAAAGCATAGATAAACTTGTACCTTAGGAAAATTATACATAAAAATAGTTAAATGTTGAATAGTATCAACTTTCTGAAAGCATTAATAGTGGAGTTTTATTTTTTAAGCAATCCTGTTATTGTATTACCTTTAGCATTTGATACAGATTTAATAAATCTAATGTCTCTGACCTAATTCCTGTAGGTGTAGAGAAAGTTAGTAAGCACAATCCATTTCTATTCAAGTTAGTGGCATATGTTGCTTTTACATCTTGCACTGCAGCTTTATACCATATATACATGTTTTATTTGGGTGAAAATCCCATTAAATTATTCATGCATCTGAGCGATTATGCTTAGACGTGGGCCTGTGGAAGGGTGTATATAATATGCAATTGTCCCCTGCAACAATCCCAAATATATAAACATACATATGAATCCTATGTTCTTTTGAATGGTGGTTGTGGTTGATATATTTATTTGGAGTATGTAAAATGAGGACCATAAGTCAGAGCTGCAAATACCATCATTTTGGAGGGTAAAATCCATTGACTTTACTTAAGTAAAGGAAGTATGACTGTCATCTAACGATACAGAGTGATACTTTTTATATTTCTTCTCTTTCTTTTGGCTCAGTATTTACATTCTTGCTAGGATGCTTGCTTTATCGGCATAGACACATTCTTATGCTTCATGCTACCCTTTCTGATTTGTCTTAACTTTCTTTCTCTTTTCTCCTAGTACTCCTTGGATTTTTTCTTTACCATCTCTGTGTACATAGTGGTTCATCTTTAGAGAATAGAAATGCACCAGTTGTAGGTATAGATATCTTTCAAAATGATATTATAAGCATCATAATAAAGAAACATTAATATAGTAACATGGGAGTGTGAAAACTGCCTTATGGGCTGATTGTTCCTGTGATGGTTCAGTGTGGCTTTGGATATGGTGAACGTGATTAGTAATTGGAGGCAAAAAGCACTGCATTCCTTCCACTTCAAATTTTTGCATCCTCTGTATCAAAAGGACAACTTGTACATCTCCTATCAATAGATGTGTAAACTTCTGATACACAGGTTGCTCATAAATCTTGGCAGGTGATTAACAGGTTTTGCTTTAGTTGTCAACTGGGAGCCAGGATAAAGAGGGCAAGTCGTTCAGGTTCTTGGTCCTCACATTTCCATAAACTCTGAAGTTACCTGTTAAGGGTAAGAAAGTACTACGCGTGCTCCAGAGTGCTATACTGTAAAACATTATCTTCAAGGGGATCAATGCTCGTGCTGGAGAAACCATGTTCTTTACCGTACATTAGCTCTCTTATCATTCTGCAGTTTTTACACTTTTTAGTTATTAAAATAGTTCTTTTCTCCCCTCCAAGGTTATCGTCCCATTCCAGCAGAACCTTACCTTGGAGGGAATTCATCCTTGCCACCTCCTGTTAGCGACAGAATGAGAAAAAGACGGGCTTTTGCTGACAAAGAACTTGAGAACATAATGCTTGAACGGGAGTATAAGGAACGAGAAATGATGGAAGCCACCCAGGCTGCTGCCTTCTTCCTGCCAAACCGCATGGTACATGGGACTGAGTACAATTCTTACAAAACTTTTAACCCTCATCAACTTGAAGCTACCAGTAAGGAGTTTTGTGGCTTCCTGCCTACGTGCTTAGATCTAACTATGCAGTATTCAGGTTCAGGGAACATGGAATTGATTTCATCAAATTTGAGTGTGGCTACCACCTACAGGCAGTATCCTTTGCCCTCGAGATTTTTGGTATGGCCGAAGTGTGGCCCTCTCAATGATGCCCTCCTCTATCAGCAATGCCTTCTAAATGCCACCGCAGTCCAGTCTCTCAAGCCTGGAATCGTCTGGGACAATAAGGCTTCACACAGCCAGGATTTCCCCACCTCTGAACATGACATCACATTGTCAAAAAATGAGAACACGTTCCACCATCCTCATGTTCAAGAACTTGAGACACCCCAAAATGAACTCCAAAACATCCCTCAGGAGTCTCATGAGAGGTCAGCATTTTCATCCCCTAGGAGGACTTTCTCACAGATCTCTGGCAAGGATCCTGTAGTTCCTCAGGATCAATCCCTCAACAAGATCAGCAAAGAGCATCTGCTCCTGCCATCCTTATCCAAATACAGTCCATTCCATTCCTTATTCCAACAGACACTTCATAGCAAATCAGGATCAGAGTTAAAAACCACTTTTGACGGGGCATCCAAGAAGTACAGAGAGTGTACCTTCAGAGAAAACCAAAAGTACAAATTCAGCATTGACAGATATGCAAAAGACTTTCTGGGGACTAAACAAGCTGTAACAAAATTATCAGCAAATGAACCATTACCGTTTTCTGTTGAATCAATTCTTAAACGACCATCTTCAATGGTCACCAATGTTTCTCAATAGGCTGACAATATGATCTTTAAAAGACTTAAACAACTGTATTGGTACTTTAACCAAATGTGCCAAGAAATAAGTCCCTTTGAATTCATTAGAGCTTGCTTCTGCTAGGCACTTTGTCTAACATACACTTGGAAGAAGTTCTTCAGATTTTGTTGAAATTGATTTCCAGTAAACAGTCTTTGAGCTACAACACATTGCAGACATCAGTTGACTTCAGAGTGGCTGATTATATTAAGCACAGCTGCCCTTTCTTCAGAATTGACTATTCCACAACTTTAATGTAATAGTTATTGATATGCTGTCTGACAAGCTCATCTCCACTGCCTTATGCCACCATAACTTTGGAAAAAAGAATTTCAGATGTAAAGGGGGATTTAAAAATGTATATAATATGCATGTTTTTATATGAAAATAAAATATTTAAATGTTTTGCAAATTAAAATAGTGTGTTCTTTGAGGACTCATTTTCTTTTTTCTTAACGTGACATGAATTTATGTCCTCTGATTCATTCTGGAATGCATCTAAGCTGTTGGTCATATTCAAATACAGTGTTATGCCCATATACGTTAATAAGATTAAGTCTCCTTAAGTATGTGGAAGATTGTTTTTTTTGTACACTCTTCTGACATTATTTTAGAATTTATAAAATATGTTTCTTCTGTATAAACACATACAGTTTTTTTGCCTATTTTCTTCCACATATCATCCCTGGATGCCTCTGGCAGTTTTAGAAATGCATCCAGGATACAATTCAGTCTAGGAATTGAGGGCAGGATTGGAAGGACCACTAAACAAACATAGATGTGGTTTTGTGGCAAATGATTTTGGCCTCATACACAATGGGAAAAAGGGAAAAATACAATACTCTAACATTAACAAAATAGGGATGCAACGTTATATATTAGGACAAACATAATAGCCTGAGTTTAGCCTGGATTTAAATAAGCATGCTAGACATCAGATTCAAAAATGCATTGAAAGAAATTACATGTTTCCCAATCTTTGCTAGTTGCCTCAGCTACTAAGAAACTCCATTATGCTTAAAATGTTTTTCCTTCTGTTCTCTGCATAGTTAATGCAAAATCAATTAGTGGACAGTATCCTGAATGAAATAACATGCTAGTACAGACACCGTAGTAATGTATTATTATATATTGTAATGAAGAAAGATACTTTCAGAAACTGGAAGTATTATAAATCCTGCCTGTGAACAAGTTCCTCAAATTATCACTAAATCATCTGAGTTGTAAGTGTATTGTACACAGTTCTTGGGGATTTAATATTTTTTATTGATTTTTTATTTTAAAATAATGAAAAAATTATAATGCAAATACATTCTTGAAAAAAGAAACAACACATAGAGTACTTTAAAAAAAAAAAGTATCATTACAACTTAGAATTCTATATATACTTAACTAATGTAAATCAGGTACATATATATTTCTAATACATGTATATAACTGTCTTTCATCTTTAACCTACTGTATTTTGTATAAATGAGTCCCATATTTCATTATACTTGTCCATACAAAGTCTGCGTCTATAGGCAATCCACTTGTGACTACCCTTTGGCTTCAAAGCAGCATCAATTCTTACACTTGCACACTTTGTACACTT